GCTCCACACCCTGTTGCCCAGGCTGCAAACTCAGATTCCCCCAACAGGGGGCACTAGGTATTGCACCCAGCCCTGGGGTGCCCCCTGACCCCTCCCCTTTGGCTTCCTGACCTCAGAGACTATTGCAGGGGGTGGGGGGTCAACCCCTCTCCACCCCCACCCCCACCCCCACTCCCAGTGCAATAAACCAGTGCGATAGATGGACCTGTGCCCAGGCTGCTGCGGGTTGGGGGGAGCAACCTGCAGCCGCCTGATCTGACCCAGGATCCCCCTGTGTTGGGGGAGGGGGCAGTTCAGATCCTGGTGCCTACTGGGTTGGGGGCTGAGGACGCTGGGGGTCCCTGGAAGGTGAGGCAAACCCAAGTGGGCTCCCATGGGCACCCCCCACCCCCAACTCATCCCCTCCCTGGACTGCATTGTCCCTCTGGAGCTGAGCAGAGAACCCAGACATGCAGGACAGAACCCCCTCGCCCTGTGCCTCCAGAGTCACGCCTTTCTCCACCTCCCCAAGCCCCTCCCCTTATTTCATCCAAGCTCCTCCCCTAGTCTGCCCCTCCCTCCAAGCCCCACCCTCAGCACAGGCAGCACAGGCAGGATGGAGGGAAAAAGCCTTTATTGAGCATCCCATACTCTTGGGGGCAGGGCCAGCCAAGCCCCGCCCTGGGACAGAAGGGGGCGGGGCTCCAGCATGGGGTTGGGAGGGGCAGGACACCTGGGTTCGCATCCTCTGTGCCTCAGTTTCCCCTTCTCACCCTGCCACCACAAGGAGAGAACCCAGGTGTCCGGGCTCCCAGCCCTGACGCCGCCAGTCTTCTGGGCCCCCCAGCAGCGCAGCTCCAAGTGCTACAGCTGGTCATAAGCGGTGGCAGGCGGGGGCGCAGGGGCACGGGCAGCTGAGCTGTAGTAGTACGGGGAGCCTGGGAGGGCAGGGGGCTGTTAGAGGAGGGTCAGGGATTTGTACCCCCCACAATTGCTCCAAGGAACCCAGGTGTCTGGGTGCCCCGTCTCTGAGGGTGCAGGATGCCTGAGTTCCCTCCATGGCGGATCTGGGGAAACTGAGGCACTGGGCCAGAGGGTGAGAACGCAAGCATCCAGGCTCCCAGCTCTCACTCCCAGTCCCCCACAGCCCTGCTCCCGCCACCCCAGAGCTGCGAGGGAATCCAGGCGTCCGGGGCACTCACCAAGCAGGCCAGGCCCAGGGAAGCGCCAGGCCTCACTGTAGCTGTAGGGCGGGTGGCTGTAGGCACCAGCGGGGTACTCACTGCCTAGGGGGTGGGACAAGGACCTCAGGGCAAGGGTAGGGCTGTGCACCCCACCCCCGCAGGGGGCAAAGAACCCAGGTGTCCTGGCTCTTCCCCCTCCCCCCCGCAAGGGGCCACTAGCCCCAGAGAGATCCCAGGTGTCCAGGTTCCCACTCCGCTCCCTGCCCAGGGGTGAGCACAGAAACCCAGGTATCCGGGACCCCCTCCCTCACCAAGGCATCCGGGGCCCCCCAGCCCTGCCCCATGGCCCCCTCAGCTGGGAACCCTGGGCTGGGCCCTACCTGCCACCATGGCGGCGATGGCGGGGGCCAAACTGCCCTGGCCGCTGCTGGGCATGGGGGGTGGGTACCCGGGCAGGGTGGGGCCCCCCAGCTCACGCCCTGCAGGGGGACACGGGTTAGATGGGGCAGGGGGCACCCCCAAAAGCCCCCAAACCTCCCCGAACCCCCCAGCCTGGCAGAGGGAAGCACCCATCTGGGACCCCCTGCCTGGGAACAGCCCCCACAGCAAGGATCGACCCCAACAAGTAGGCAGGGATCCACCTGCCTGGGGATCCAGTTGTTTGGGATCCACCTGCCCAGGGCCTCCCACAACCAGGGATCCACCCACCTGAGGATCCAGTGGTTTCTGCCCAGGGATCTACCCCGCCAGGACCCCCACACACAACCAGGAATCCATCCACCTGGGGATCCAATGGCTTGGAATTCACCCACCCAGGATCCATCCACCCAGGGATCCGATTGCTTGGGATGCACCTAAACAAGGAACCCCCTCTCCCACAACCAGGGATCCACCCACTCATGGACCCATTCACTTGGGATCCACCCATCCAGGAATCTAATGACTTGGGAACCACTTGTCCAGTGACCCCATCCCCACAACCAGGGATCCAGCCCACCAGGGATCCCCCACAAGTAAGGACACACCCACCCAGAATCCACCCACCCAGGGAATCAACCAACCCGGAGAATCCATGCATTGGGGATCCACCAACTCAGAGACACACCCACCCAGAGATTCCCCCCTCCTGGAGATCCATCCCCCCCAGGGATCCACCCCCTTATGGATTCCCCACCACCACCACCAGGGATCCACTCACCCAGGGCCCTTCCCTGGGGATTGTGGGGGGCTGTGCTAAGAGGGAGCATCTCTGTAGAAGCGGGGGTGGGGGCATTTGGGGGTACATTCCTTTGGAGTGGATCCCAAGCCTCCCCCCTGCCCATGGGGGCTCACCAGGGCCATAGGTTGGGGGGGCAGCAGCAGGACTGGGGGGGGCACGGCTGTCCTCCAGGGGGCTGCTGAGCAGGGGCAGCGGGTACAGGCCCTGGGGGGTTCAAAAGGAGGTCAAACCCCCCAGTTCCCCCGAGCTTCCTCCCACCCCAC